GAGTCCTGGCTGGAGACCCCAGTCTTTGTCCAGAAATTTCTCAAGGCCCTCCAAGTTCTATCATTTCCGTTTGTTAGAGGCTTCTCAGTGTCGGGCCATCCGAAGGGGATTTTCGGATCTTGGCGTGATTTGTTTTTCCTCCAGCTGTGATGGCAGAGGATCGTGTCGAAGATCTCCAAGCTGCAGAGCACCTGGAGTTGGCCGACTTCTTCTCCAGCATGGAGCTGGCGAGGCCGGAAGTGCTCCGTGACGCGGCGGCCTACAAGGTCTTCCAGTCCTGCTCAGAAGTCCTCAGAGAAGGCGGTGGGGAAGCCTCCTTCGCCAAGAGCCAGGTGACAGACCGGATTCAGGAATTCTGGCGCCCCAGTTGCTCAGTGGCGCCGCTTTTTTGTTCTTTATTTTTTCGAGGGAAGGGCTCCACTTTAAACTCAAGCAGCCAGAACAGGGCTCAACTGTTTTTCCCCCCCCCCCCCCCGTGGACATCTGCTGGGCATTTGAGGAGCCATTCATGGCACAGCAGCGCTTGGAAGAAGGTTCTGACGCTCTTGGTGCTGAACAACGGCCCTGCAGCCATTGCCCTGGGGACCTTTTGCGCCTTGCTGGGTGCCTGCCTCTTCCTGCTGAACGGCCAAGCGCCCGGCTTCATGTGCCCGGTGCTCGGGGTGGCCGGCGCCGGTTTCACCTTGGCCTTCTGGAGGCGATGTCATTCTTTTTAAAGGACCTTCCCACAAAGAAGAAGGAATTTTGGACATCAGGTTCCACCTCCTGTCAAGTTAAGGGACCCCGGGCCCCACCTCCCAAATTGCTTTTGGTTCCATTTAGGTTCCCATTCAATCCAGCTCCAAAACTCAAAAGGACCTCAAAAAGGAACGCAAAAGTAGGTCCAGAAAGCGGATTTTCCTGGATGCCATGTGCATCAGCCAGACGGACGACGAACTGAAGACTGAAGCCATTCGCTCCCTCGCGGGGATTCTGAACAAGTCTGACTCCATGCTGGTACTTTGGGATGAATCTTTCGCAGACCGTTTGTGGCTCAGCCAGAGCACACGCAGTATTCTGTTTGGGGGGGGGTTGTGGCGGCCGTTTGTGGTTCAAATTACGCCCCACCTTTCTTTTGGTGTCTTCCCCTTTGGTCCTGTGGTTTGGTGACGAAACAGTGTGGACTTCTTTTTTGGCTCACTGGCCAAGCGAGGTGGTGCATATTTGAGTTGGCCGCATTTCTGAAAAGCCAGGAGAGCCAAGCGAAAGCGCTCCCGATTATTTGCCCAACCCTGGCTGGACCCATCTCCGTGGGCTTGTTTGCTATGGCAGTGGTCGCGGCAGGCTTTCGGACCATCCTGCTTGGTATGAAGGACAGGGCAAAACTGTTTTAAGGCCATGGACCTCCGAAGGCTCGTCTATTTTGGGAGTTGGTACATGTCGGTACCCCCCATTTTTGTTGTATTTCTACACGGGAAACCAATAGGAAAACAGAAATCCATTTTGGAGGGTCCGATTCCTTAAGAAGCCACACCCATAAGAAGTGGTTGAAGTGCCTGTGGTTCATATCCCCCCGCGTATCAGCGAGACCGCTCAGCTGTCCCGTGGAATGCCTCAAGCCCGTCCGGTGTTGAATTGTCTGCAGGACGAACATTGGGCATTGTCGCTTCTCGGCACTCTGCTGATTCTGGTTTCCTACTTCCAGATAATTGCGCATGTGGGACGTGGCTTCTACCGTTCTATTGAGGCTATGCAGAGGAAGCTACTCTCCTTGCGGGTTGCAGAGACCGAGTGCAACTGCTGCAAGGTTGGGCATGTTGACGTGGAGGGCGAGCAGTTGCTTTGCGACCGGGTGGTGATTTACGACTGTATCGCCAGGTGGTTTGGCAGCATCGAGGAGTTCGAAGAGTTTATCCACACGAAGGTGGTGGATGAAATCACCAGGGGGATTGAACGCACAAAGTTCAGCGATGCCTGGGCTGTTGCCATGGCGACCCCCACATATTGGGCAATGATTGATCGTGCCTTTGCCGTGTTGGCTCTCGCCGGGGTCCCGACTTGGCAGCAACTCCTTTGGTGGGTGCTTCAGGTGCTTGGCATCATCTGCTTCTTCCCTGTCCTCACTGCCTGGAACAAGTTCCTGGCTCACAGCTTCCGCCAGCCCGGCTGGACCAAGAACCTCCTGATCCTGCTCTGCAACCTGCCCATAACCTTCGCCCGCCTGGCTGCAGATGCGATCTCCTTACGCTACGAGGCCCACCTCGAGCAGGCTGCAGCTTTCGCCGTCATCATGGGGCCCAGCCTGGCCCTGATGTGGAGTCTGCGCGCCTGGCACGGATGCCACTGGTTGAGCCAATGCCTTGTGCAGTACAGGTTGTCGCTAGAGAGAGATTGCGATAAAGCAGTGGGCTCAGATGATGCACTTGATCACCGCCTCCCGAAGCTGGAAGTCATAGCAGAGGTGATCGGCAATGGAGAGGTTTCACGTGTGCCGGCGCGGAAGATTTAGCGTGCCAAAGTTTTAGAATTCTGTCGACTGGAAAAAACAACAAGTCTTGCAGTCCACGATTTGTTTCATGGACTCAAAAGCGCGATGCGATGCGATACCTTTGGGCTGTTCAAAATCAATCCTACATCATTAGCCATTTAATCCTTCGAGGGGAGCAGCTTCCTTTGCTGTAGTGGCATCCGGTTCAAAGAAATCCCATGCCCCATGTGGCGTTCATTCCAAATGTCGGCTGCTGGCAGCTGGAGGTTTGGAGCAACCCATAAGGCGTCAACCGAAAGCTTGAAGCTTCGCCACAGCCACCCGAGTTCAACTAGCGGCACGTTTTGGGAAGCCCATTGTTGGCCCAATAATAGGTTACTCGGTTCAGGACGAAGGGTTCTTTTGGGCGAGCCCAAAACTTCGGGGGCCCGAGGAACGGCAGGGCTTTCCATTCCTTGGATTTGGGCGTGTCTTGATTTGAGTTGGGTGTGGGTCTAAAAATGGAGGCGGTCCATAGCCCGATGTTTTAATTTTGAACCATACCCACTTGGTACTCCTTTTTTTTTGGGTAGAAGAAACCGAAAGGAACCAAAAACCGTTTCGGGGGCTCCGATTCTTTTGGGCTTTGGCCCCCCGAGGCGGCCTTTGCGGGGCGGCGCTGCTTTTTGGGCCGCGCGCAGGAGGGCTTTCCATCGAATCAGCTTGGAGATTTGCCCGTGGAAGGCCGAGAGGCCAAAAGGGTTGCCCAAAAGGACGATGCCTGAAAAACCAGGTGGGATCCCGGGCTTGGTTCCTGGTGAATGGGTAAAGCTCAAGACGCTTTCCAACGCTGCACGGGGCAAAGTCTAAGTTGGGCCCCGGGTTTTTGAAAGGTGACCGCCGCCGTCTCTGCGGTTGCCTCTGCGAACCGTCCGCCGCAGGATGCTGAGGAGGATGATGCGCTGGAGGATTCCCTGGCCTTGTTTTGGTCGAGCCCACAACTAGTAACTGTCTTGGGCACGCGTGCTGGATACGAGTCCCAAGGTAACCCAGCGCTTACTTTCAAGTCGATTTTGAATTTGACACTTTTTGGGAAGACCGATTGAGTTATTTTGAGTTTGGACTGGCTTGGGCCAATTTAAGCAACCCACCCAGCAAGTGATTATTTTGTCTCAGCCCGTGTGCAGCTGCCATCTCTCCCGGAATTTCAGGCCATGACACTTTCGGCCAGGTGTCCCCGCAAATCGTTCTGGGTCCACCTGCTGTGTTGGCGGCTTCAAATTTTATACTGTATTGGAATGCATGCATGTATGTGTATGAAACATGCGGGCACTCGTTCTCAGGTGCTCGCCGGGGAAGAAACCCACGGGCCTCAGAGTCTTTGCAGCCGCCAGGTGAGTCTTGAGATCCTGGACTCCCGGCCGACTGGGGATGAGGAGGAGGGAATGCTTCCTTTTGAAGCACCCAACTGGTGGCGGAACAACTGAATGCATTGGTTTCCCAGAGCCGACCCCGTGAATCCAGGTTCATTCTCAAAAGAACAGGGCTCCGATGGTGCTCCTCCCTTGGCGATGGCCAAACTTTAACACCAGCCAACGAGCCAATCAGGAAGTGGATGGCCCCATCCAAAGCAACGAGCAACGCAAGTTGAAGGACCCAGGGTGTGATTTGGATCGGTTGGGGGGAATCGAACCCCTTTTGTTGGCACGGGGCGGCCAGCCCTCAAACTAAACGGATGCGGATCAACAAAATGGGCCTGCAGCCGTTGAAAGTCGGAAGGCCAATTCAGCCTGGGCCAAATAAACTGAGCATTCTGGGAGGTTCTGGCTGTGGGTGGCTTTTGCGGTGTCATATTTTGCACCTCCTTTTGAAGGCAGCTGTGATGTCAGTGCAGTGAGCCAGTCTGCATCTTCTTTCGGAACAGGTGTTTTTGCCGGGATCATTGTTCTCTTCAGCAACCCTGCAGGAGCCTGACACCCTGCCGGCCGTGTGAGAGGGAACACCTGGGAGCAGCAAAGACGGTGCGAGCGCAAGCTTTTGAGGTTGCTCATGGCAAGCTGGCGTGTCAAGCTTGGCATGTGGCATGTTGCATCAGGGCACGCAGGCTCAGGCGTTTGTTTTGCGGCGCCTGCCCTTCGCAACGTAGCAGCCCCGCGCAATGGGACTTTTCCGGGTCGCCCTGGTGACAATCCTGGCAGTCTCTGTGCGAGGCGGGCCGATTCTGGGTTTTGTTGTGGCTTGTGTTTGGCACCGTGAAGCACGATGTGCCATGCTGCCCGTGCAATGGCAACAGTTTCAGACTGGAACAAGTGTTGGACTTGCACCTTTGTTCCCGCATGCATGGACCACCTCCAGGTAAAACTAGGCTATTTGGCTCAAGCCTCAAAGGTTCCCATTTGACGGAGTGGCTCACTCCACTTGGACATTCGGGCAGTTATCCCAGCCGTCGGTAGCCAAGCCCCAGTCACAAGTTTTTTTTTCGGATCGGCGGGCACAAGTCTACCCGCCGGCACGATCCTATATCTGACGAAGCCCCATCGCGCCATCGGGCTCTAAGCTGCCTCATTTTGTAAGGGCTTGGGGACTCATTTTTTTGCTCTTTTTTTTTTTGGGGGGGGGGGAATCTGGATGTTTGCCGCGGCTTCGGCTTATCTAGCTCCGGGGCCATTGAGTCCAAGATGGCTTCCAGTGCCCTTAATCACTGCCCCCATTTAATGGGATATACCGCCATTGACCGCATGAAGGGCAACCGTTTTCCCAGTGGTCCCTTTGGTGTTCCCACGTCCGAGCCACAGGCTTGGATGTGGCCGCCCACACGCGTGCCCATCGCCGGCACCGGCACCGGCGGGCGTCGGCCGGGCCGACCAGCGCGCCGACTGCAGCAACTGGCGTGCCGAGCGCAACAAACGACGCGCCACCCGCGGCGAAAGTGAGGCTGTCCACAGAAGGCGCTGACAGCGCGGGCCAGGCTCAAGTGGACTCTGCGGCCCGGCGCAGCAGCAACCTGTCTTCTCCAGTTTGTTTTTCTCCTCGATGCAGAGTTTGGGCAATTCTTTCCAAAAGGCAAATTGCCAGTTGCAGGGTTGGGCCGAATTTCCGGTAGACGCCCAAATGGGTTTATCCGTACCAAAACCCCAAGCCTGCCCCAGTGTTCCCTTTTCTGAGACATACCCCAGTTGAAATATGAAGCAGGATCGGAACAAATATGTTTTTTTTGGTGTACCCGTTGTTTGTGGGCTGTGGGCCAAGAGAGGTTTTAACGCCAAACACGCCCAGACCCACTCCCCAAAGCCCTCGGGCTCAGTTCTGGTAGTGGGTGGTTCTACCTGGCTTCAGTCATAAAGGTTATAGTAACTCTTACGAACCTGTATAACCAGGGGTGTGTCTCCTGCAGGACCCATTGATACACAAATGTTTGCTCGAGCTTTCGTAGCAAATAAGTGCGCGAGAAACGGGAAATACAAACACATGCAAACGCACAGATTGCGGGGCGGAGCTTTGGCTTTGCACACTTTTTGGAATTGCGCCCGAATTGCGGAAATTTGCGCCCGAGTAGCGGGAAATTGCGCTCGAGTTGCGGGTTCGTTTTCTCTCGAGCACTTCACCAAGCATCTAGGCAACCTCAAAAAGTGCTCGAATTGGATTTGAGCAGAAAAAAACCGCTCGAATGCCAAAAACTGTCTGGAGCACTTTTTTGTGTATTAAAGGGTCCTCCAGCGTTTTTGTTTTTTTTGACGCCATTTTGAGGGTTTTTGGTGGGTTCCGAGATGGTGCACCTGGACTCCGCCGCGCAAGAGATGATGCCGGAGGTGGTGGGCAGCATCCTCAAGGCAGCAGCCAAGCGGCTTTGACCTCACGGGAGGGGATGCAGTTAAAAAAATTGGGCGACAGGGCTCCTTAAAAGATCTCCATTTTGCAACCACTTGAATTGAAATGTTTCTGTTTCAACACCGAAATAAAGGGAAACAACACCATTTACAAGGCAATGTTCAGGTGTATAATGTCAGGATACCTGTGGGCCAGAAGCACAGATCAGGGTTTTGGGTTTTGGTTGGGCAGCTGAGGTTTCGGCTTGAAAATCGAACTCGGTTTGATTAGAAGGCCATTGTCCCATCCGGCCGAAAGCGACAGCCGACCCGACGCAAGCGGAGCCCACCAGAACCCTTGTGGCAAATGCTTGGCTTCGCGTTGCCACGTTTTGTGATACCGGTATGGAAGCCAGGCTCTGGGCCTTGCCCTTCTGGTGGTGTTTTCATGTTTTCGCCTTAAAGGTGTCAGTGGTTCGAACCTCTGGAGTAAGCTCTTTGGCCTTCAGCTGACCTCATGACTTTGGCTTCTAGGTTTGGAGTATTTGCAAGGGCCCCCAACAGGATCGAGATCCTCTTCTTCGGATGCTTTGCCCTAGTGACACATCGGAGCACACAACGCATTCCCCCTGGTCCGCACGTCCTTGCCGACCGAACATGTAGGTTGCCCTACTAGCCGGCAAAGGGGCAAACACCTAGGGTTCCGTATATATCCCTTGTTTGTTTTCAACACCACCTATCGGAAATGCCAAGGGAAAGATGAGTTTCGCTGTGGGGTGATGCGTGAGGGGAGAGAGAGAGAGAGAGAGAGAGAGAGAGAGAGAGAGAGAGAGAGAGAAAAAGAGAGAGGGCTTCGTTGCCCGAAGGAAATCTTCGCTGGACGAGTTGGACAAGACCAAGATGGCTGAGGGTCATTTGCTGAAGGGCCAAGAGGACAGGGCGCGGTTTCCCGGTTTTCGGCCGCGGGTTTGGCGGGGAATGGATTTGTTCAATGACAAGCGATCCATGAATGTGCTTTTGCACAACAAGCCGAATTTGAATGGCCTTCAGATGGGGAATGGGTGATTAACATCGCACCATTCAAGTTGGACAACACCTTCATTGCGGGATGTTTCCAAAGGGGAACTGTAAGGACCCGTACAATGACGCCATATGGCATATGCAACCCGCAGACTGGTTGCTTGTCGTCTCTTTGGCTCCCATAGATGGGTTCAGGGCAAGGCCTTGTGGGCTTGTGCGCTGGCTGAT